TGAATTTAAATTCAGCTTCTTATAGACAGCATATAGTTGTCTTATTTTTTCCTCCCATTTTACAATCTACAATCTTTTATTTGATATGCTTAGGCCATTCATGTTTAATGTAATCATTGTATGTTTAGATAAAAATCTACCAACTTGCACTAAATACAGGAATAGTCTCTTGGTTAGTGGTGTTCAAAGCCTCTTTTCCATCTTTGAATATAGCATCTCTTCAATCTTCAAAGTAACCCTACAACAACTGCATACTACTACCCATGTATACCAGTAATGATTTGAGGTTACAGAGGCAGTGTTCAATTCCTGGGGTTCCAGGGTTCCTTAGTGGCAGCACTAGAGTTAAAATACTGCTTTGTTTTGCTCAAAATCTACATTTTCCCCACCAACCAGGCTAGTATGATGCTAGTAAATTAGTATGATGCTAGTAAATTAGTATGATGCTAGTAAAAAAAAAAATAGGTGGTAAAGAGCTAATATAATGAACATCTGATTATTTAAAAAATCTACCTTCTTCTTAGTTGTTACATGTTTGTTCTGTGATCTTTGTTCCTTTTTCATCTTCTTTCTCTGCTTGTCTCCTTGGATTGAGAATTTTACATTCCTTTTTCTTTTTTCTTCCATATTGTCTTCAAAGTCCAATGTGTTGCACATTTTCAATTTGGATGAATCATTTCAACATGTAAGTTTTATTTTACCCAATGAGATTTTTACATTCCTTTTTTATTTTGTTTTGTTTTTTTGAGTCTGGGTCTCACTATGTAGCCCAGGCTGGCCTCCTCGAACTTGCAGCGATTCTCCTGCCTCTGCCTCCCGAGTGCTGGGATTACAGGTGTGCACCACCATGCCCGGCCCCTCACATTCCTTATTTTTGGTACTGCCCTGGATATGCTTATAATTCCTTTTTTTCTCTACTATCAACTTATTTTTTAGTTTGAAAAAAATTTTAGTGTTTGCTCTTAGACTTAGGATGTATATTTTTAATTAGTCACAGTTTGGTTTTTTTTTCCTTGGGGCTAGGGATTGAACCTCGCACCTTGTTTGTTTGTGGGGTTTTTTTGTACCGGGGATCGAACCCAGGACCTTGTGCTTTTCAGGCACGCGGCGGAACCACTGAGCTAAATCTCCAGCCCAAAATCTAGTCCTTTGTACATGCAAAGCACACATTCTACCCCTGAGTTACATTTCCAGGCCGAACTTACTTACATACTTTTTTTCTTTCTTTTTTTGGTATTAATACGTGTTTGCGGTACACGATTACATTTTCATAGGGAGCTGGTACATGTACAGGACACATCTTAATTCTTATTTTTATCCCCTATCCCTCCTAACCTTTCCTGCTCCTTCTAACTTTTGGTCCCTTTCTCATTTACAAAACCTTTTTCCATTTTTTCCTTCAGTTCTTTTTTTTCATCCCCTCTGTCGATCTCTTGTTCCCCTTCCCATTTGAAAAAGGTCTTTCTACTTCCTCTTATCTATCTTTTACTTTGTTCTTTATTTATATTTGGAATGTCTCATATAAGATGCAATATTTAAGCTTGTGTGTCTATTTTATTTCACTTAATATTACGGTTTCAAGGTGCATCCATTTACCTATGAGTGCCTCAAGTTTATCCTTCTTTATGGTAGAGTAGTTCTCCATTGTGTATAAATACCAAATTTTCTTTATCCATTCATTTGCTGATGGTTCAGGCCCAACTTTCAAATAATAATATATGATTTCGGCTGGGGATTTAGCTCAGTGGTTTCGCCGCCTGCTGCGCAAGCGCAAGGACCCGAGTTTGATCCCCGGTACCAAAAATTAAAAAAAAATAATAATAATACATGATTTCACCTGTAGTATAAGAAACTTACAACAAGAAAAAAAATTTAAAAAAAAAAAGAAACTTACAACAGTATAGTCCAAATTCCTCCCTCCCAAATTTAGCACTAATGTCATACATTTTACTTTTACATATGCCAGGTACCCACAATACATCGATACTATTTTTGCTTTAAACAATTTATCTTTTAGATAATTAAAAATAATAGATTTTAATATTTACCTTCATTTTAACCATTTCTTTCCATAGATTCCAATTTATTTCTACTATCATATTCCTTCTGCCTAAAGAAATTCTTTTAACATTTCTTACAGAAATCCTTCCAATTTTTGTCTAAAAAATGATATGTTCTCTAGGTATACAATTCTAGTTTTATGGGGATTTGTTTTTGTTTCAATATTTTAAAGATGCTCCCCCTACCCCCAGTCCCATCTTCTGGCTTGCATAATTTCTGATGAGAATTCTGCTGTTATTCTTATCTTTGCTCTTCTAAAAACATATAATGACTTTTCCTCTCTGCTTGCCTTCAAGGTTCTGTTTCATTTTCAGCAATGTGAATATTGTTATTATTCATCCTTCTTAAGGTTCTCCAAGTTGCTTGATTCTGTAGTTTGATATCTTTTGCTATTTTTTGAAAAATTGTGGCCATTAGCTCTTCAAATATTTCTACTCCCCTATTCTTACTTTTCTTCTTCATGGATTCCAATTTTACACATTTTAATCTATCTAATATTTCTTCCCTCAAGTTTCTTTTCTCCTTCCAGTGCTGGGGCTTGTCCCTAGGGCCTCACTCACACTGGACCCCTGAGCTCTACCCCCCAGTCACATCTCTGACCCTCCCGTAGGTGTTGCTGCTCTAGTTTGTTTGTTTCTTGTCCCATACTCTTTTTCTCTTTTTCTCTTTGTGTTCAAGTTTGGATAATTTCTATTATTCTTCCTTCAAGTTTGCTGATTCTTTCCTTAGCTGTGTGGAGTCTACTGAGGAGCTTGCTGAAGGCAGTCTTCACCTTTATTCTTATTTCTAGCTTTTCTATTTAACTTCTTATAATGGGTAAAAACCTCACATCTGTACATGAATCATGTCAACATTTTCACTACAGCATTTAACATATAAATCATAGTTATTTTAATTATTAATTTTTGGTTGACCCAAAGTCTCACTATGTAGCCCAAGCTGGTCTCAAAGTCACAGTGATCCTCCTGCCTTCAGCCTCCCAAGTGCTAGGATTACGGGCATGCACCACCACACATGGCATCATCATAGTTACAGTATTTTAAATTCTTTGTTTGATGGTTTCACTATCCTTATCACATCTGGGTTTGGTTCTGTTGTTTACTTTGGCTCTTGACAGTGGCTGCTGCTGTTGTTTTGTGGTACTGGGGACTGAACCCAGTGTCTTGCCCTGAGCTCCACCTTCAATCATTTTAATTTTATTTTGACCTCTTTCATCTCAGCCACCAACATGCCTGCCATTCAGATTGAGGAAGAGCTGGAAATTTCAGGGCCACGTCAGCCATGGCCATGGCTGTGTTGATAAAGACTGGAAGCACCTAGGAGGCTAGGGTAATGCCGGTGAAATGCATAATGTGGTGACAGATCAGCTTCAACAAATGGCACCCAGCTTACTGTGGGAAGGCTGCCTGGAGCCGTTACCACTTACAGAAGAACCAGAGCTTCTGCCCAACTGTCAGCCTTGATAAATGTGGAAACTGGTCAGTGAGCAGACACTAATAAATGCGCCAGAAACAATACTAGAGCAGCTCCCATCATTGACGTAGTGTGACAAAATTCTGGGGAAGGCAAAGCTCCCAAAGCAGCCCATCATCGTGAAGGCCAAAATCTTCGGCAGAACAGCTGAGAGTAAGGTTTGAGGGGGGACCATATCCTGGTGGTGTGAAGCCACAGAGAGTGAGGCCCATTAAATACTAAAAAGAATTTTTAAAAAAATTTTATTTTGAACATCATCTCTCTAAGTTATCCAGGCTGGGCTCAAACTTGTGATCTGCCTGCCTCAGCCTTCTAGAGTGCTGGGATTACAGGCATGTATCACCATGCCTGGCTAGGTTCTGTATTTTAATATGGTTTTAAAAATTGTATACATTACATTGCAAACTGGTTCTAGTTAGCTTTTTATATTTGGTTTGCTTTTTTTTTTTTTCTTTGGTACCGGGGATTGAACTCGGGTCTTTGCCCTTGCACAGCAGGCGGCGAAAATGGTTTGCTTTCTTTTTGGTACTGGAGATCAAACTTAGGACCTTGAGTTTGCGAGGCAGGCACAGTGCCACTGAGCTAAATTCCCAGCCCTATATTTGGTTTAGGTTGGGCCTGGGTAAAAAGTAAGAAAATGTGTACATTATTAAACCAAAAGATAAGATGTAAACTAAAACAGACATTGGCAGGCAGGGTAGATTTGCAGTGAATTGAAATGAACAGGGGAAATAAATGTCTGAGTGGATGAGGAACAGGTTAAATATACTTCCTCACCATGGCCACTAGATGGTGCAAATATTTTGTAGGGCTTAAACTGACCTAACACTCAACGTTTGGAGGAAAATCTCCAAAGAAATTAAACTTCTTGCCTCTAGGGAAAAGTGGATTTTTGGGGTATGTATGCTGTTGAGACTATAGGATGGTGTGTGTGTGTGTGTGTGTGTGTGTGTGTGTGTGTGAGAGTGTGTGTGTTAGGAACTAAGAACTGAACCTAAGGGTGATCTCCTACTGAGCAATGTCCCCAGTCCTTTTTAATTTTTTAAAATTTTCAGACAGGATCTCATTAAGTTGCTCAGGCTGGTCTCAAGTTTGCAAGCCTCCTGGCTCTTGGGTAGCTGGGATTACAGACATGCAACACAGTACCCACCTATATGTGTGTTTTTGTTTTATATTTTACTTTGTTCAGCGTAAATAGTTTGAACTTTATTTTCCAGATATTTAACCCAAGTTGGGGTCATCCAGCATATGGCTAAATGATGCTTGGGCTGATGGCATGTGTCCTCCCAGTCACAGAACTAACACAACTCTTGTATTGTTAAGGGGAAAACATATTACACAAGAGTACTACAAGAAAAATTCTATCCCTTAGATATTGGTAGCCTGACAAACACTAAATTTCTGAGCTAATGTGCTAGGAGTCCTTGCAATAATCAGTACTTACTTGAGTGAGGTGGCCAAGAGTCCCGGTATTCACTGCCTGCCTGAGTTCTGGGTGACTTGCCCCGAACCTGGGGAGCCACACAAAAAATCACAAGAGTTATGATCAAAGAACTTAAATGAGACATTTAAATCATAAAAGGGAACTTGAACTATATAATTTTCTAGCACTTCTTCCACAATATATAAAATTTAACATATGCATCCTAACAATAGTCACATACATTTATAAAAAGCTTTCTAGTTTTCAGTGCATATTCCATATATTTTCTCATTCAACTCCAAGCTCATTTGATGGGAAAGGGGAGAAGAATGTGCAGTAAACAAAGACCCTCAGGCAGCTACACAGCTGCTGAGAGGAAGAGTTCCCATGAATTCCTTCCTAGGACTGTCATACCATGAGGTCAGCACCTCTGAGAGGAAACCCAGAGAGAAAACCAACTGAACTTCAGCAAAAGCTTATAATCTTTTAGTGCTGTCTTCATCTACATTAAAATTCATAAAACCGAGCTTCCTCGGGAGCTTGCCTGAGTGAGGGAACATAGCGAGAGCATTACCTTTCTTTCCTGTTTCTTCTGTGTCTCCATGAGATGCAGGCGCTCCATGAGGCTAGAGATGCCCTGCTCCAAGCTGTCGATGGTGTGATGCTGAGGGTCATGGCCACTAAAGCTGTTGCGAAGGCTTCGCAGAGCATCTCGAACAAGCTGCAGGTCGCTGGTCTGCAGATAAAAATAAGGTGCTGCTGGCCTGGCACAGTGCCATGTTAGCTAAGTCCCAACCAATGGGCTTAAACAGATAAAGTGAGAGATTTCTAGGATACATCTATTTTTGTGGGGGAAATGTTTTCTCCTCAGAAACAGGCCTATACTTAGTCTGCTAATTCTTAATTTTAAATGGCTAGTGCCTCACATCTTTTTTTTTTTTTTGAAACGGGGTCTTGCTTTGCAGTTCGGGTTGGCCCTGAACTCACTATGTAGCCCAGGCTGGCTTTGAATTCACTGCGATCCTCCTGCCTCAAACCCCCTAAGTGCTGGGGTAATAGGCATGCGCCACTATACCCAGCTTGTCTCACATCTTCATACATCTCACAGATGCAAGAATTAGGGAGCTGGGCATGGAATAGTGATGCATGTTTATAATCTCAGCTACTGTGGAGGCTGAGGCAGGAGGATCCTGAGTTCAATGCCAGCCTGGGCAACGTAGCAAGACCTGATCTTTTTTTTTTTTTTTGGTACTGGGAATCGAACTCAGGACCTTGCATTTACGAGGCAGGCACAGCACCACTGAGCTAAATCCCCAGCCCAACAAGACCTGATCTTGAAGTAAAATTTTAAAAAGGCCTCAATGATACGGCATTTTCCTAGCACATGGAAGCCCTGGGTTAAATTTCCAATACGGAAGGAAGGAAGGAAGGGAGGGAGGGAGGAAAATTATGGGCTAGGAATATAAACAAGCTGATCCACTGCTGATAGCCAGGGCACTGTTCTGGCTTCAGCTAGAAGAGGCAGACCTGCATTCTAATCCTAGGATCCTACCCCTCTGTGAGTGATGGATGCAGCTCCTTTTCCTGCCATTGGAATGAGAAAGCCATTGCTTTGAGAGTTGTAACTGTTGTAGTTGGTCACCTATAGTAGCAAGAAATGTACTTGTTAAAGGGAGAATTCTGAACCAAGTTGTCCTGTCATACTTTTCTTCTTCACACTCTTCATCACTTTCTGACATAGCATATCATTATTGTTATTATTATCATTATTATTATTAATACTATTACTACTAATACTACTATTGGTTTTTTGAGACAGGGCCTTGCTATTTAGCTCAGGCTAGCCTTAAAATCACTATGTATCCCAGGCTGGCCTTGAATTCACCATAACCCTCCTGCCTCAGCTTCCCAAGTGTTGGGATTACAGGTATGCACTACTACACCTGGCTTAGTACATAATTATTTATTTGCTTAATGTTTCCATTAAAATATAAGCTTCACAGCTGCAGCCATGCTTCCCTTTTATCACGGCTATACCAATGCTGCACTTGATGCTTAGCAAGCACTGTGAATGAAGAATGAATGAAATGAAAACCTCACCTGGGGCCCCCAAATTAGCCCTCTGTCACAGCCACTGGGGATGTCAGAATGCTTTCTCTAGCAATCTCTGGCTTTGTTTCATAATGAACAATGGTTAATTTTTTTTGTGCCTGACTCTGCCAGCTGGATCTACTAGAACTATGTTGTTATTTATGTGGATTATGCTGGGATTACTGCCATCTTCAGGTCATACAATGCAGACAGGGTAAAGCTAGAATTTGAAATCAGATTTTCTTATCCTGGAACCTGTACTCCTCACCATATAGCCTCCCATGGCAGATGGCCTTGGTTCATCTCTGGGTGAGAAACAGAATCTACCTTTTTGTCTCATTGTGTGGAAGAGAGAACCCAAATTCTAGGTTACCTCATCTGCCTCTCTTTTCATACAATGAGCCAAAAGGACATCTTTGTGTTCTAGCTCCCGTTCTAGATCCACCTACAAATCAGAGATTAAATCAGAAGAAAGTTTCTTCAGGTGAAAGGTGCACGAAAGTCAGTGGCTGAGCATGGTACAACCTGCTGGTAACTGGCATCCGAGAGTTTCCGGATTGCTTCTTCCAACTTGGCCTGCTGCTGCTGAAGGAGGCGATCCTTCTGCCCCAGCTCTTTCTGCAACAGACAGAGCTTTCAGATGTACAGGAAAACCAGGGATGCTGAACAGTTTGCCATCTGCAATGTAATTTCAACTCAAGTAAAGTAGAGCCTCAGAGGGATAGGCCTTTCCTCAAGCCCTACCAGGAAGACCTGACATACCAGAATATTCTCACATGGTACAAAGGATTCTTGGAAGGGTAAAGAGGAAAAGGACTACTGCTTGTAGAGGACTACTATGCCATCGCTGCTAGTTAGGTGAGCCTAGTACTGAAGTTTCCATACTCCTTGTTCTGTTCTGCTTTCCCCAGCTGTGCCATCTATTCTTTTTTTTTTTTTTTTTTTGGTACCGGGGATTGAACTCAGGTCCTTGCACTTGTGCAGCAAGCGGCGAAACCACTGAGCTAAATCCCCGGCCCAATGTGCCATCTATTCTTCAGGGATGATGAATCAAGGGCATAAAAAAAGATTACTTTCCAAAAAATAAGGATGAAAAGAGAGGAGCAACAGTAACAATGGGCTGATCATAAAAGGTCACATGGAAGTAATTTCCAAACCAATACTCATTCTTACTTTATATTCGCCCAAGATCCGGTTCCTCTCATCTAGCTTCCTCTGCAGATCTACCTGCAAGGGTAAGAAAGGATTTACTGGCATGGAGGTGTTGGACATCAGCCCTCATGGTCACTGGAGTTAATGCTGGTAGTTTAACTGGACACCAAAGGGAAAGCATCATTATAGATATAAACACACAGTGGCAATCCATCTCTTTGGTAAACTCATTGGACTGTAGAACAATTATTTGGCCTCAGTGTCCTCAAAGTAGAAGGAGTTAGGGACCTTCTTTTCCAGCATGTTATGGGCTTTCACCTAGAAATGGAAATGAATTTGATGGAGAATATAAATAATTGCAGACACTGAGGGTAGGAATCCCAGAAGTAAGGTAAGAGAGATAAGGAAAGCAGATCTAACAGAACTTATTAATCATCCTATTTGGCTAGTGGGGTTCATTGAGGTTAGAGTTCACACATTTAACTCACATTCTGGTTATGCAGCTCATCTTTGTCCATAGTTGCCCTCAGTAGTTCTTGTTTGAGCTGAAGAACAGATGTGTCCTGCTGAGTCAACCTCTGCTGCAAGGCATCCTGGGGGAAAAAGCATGTAATTATTTCAGTCTCTGCTGGAGATTTACCGCAGTGGCACTGCACCAGCCTCACAAGTGCAAGGTCCTGAGTTCAATCCCTGGTACCAGT